TTTATACAATAATTATTCTTATTAATTGTTTTGTAAGCAAAGAGACAATGTCTACACAGTCATTGGTAAGTTTTATTTATTTTTTTTTATTCAAAACTTAAACCCGGCAGCAAGTTAAATGTAATCCCTCATAGCGCCTTTTTACCGGTACCTGTTCACGAATTTTACGATTCAATAATATTCTAAATGAATTTCTTATAAATTTCCTGTCATACAACGTTTTGCTGATCTGTCACAAACTACCAAATTGTTCAACTTATGATTTCATTTATTTATTATACATATTCCAGATGACACCTGATATGGAGATTAAGATAAACAAAGACGAACAGTGTGCGCGTAAGTTGCGTGTGTGTGTGTGTGTGTGTGAATGTGTGTTTGATAATTGGGCTAGCAATTCATTACAATGGGCCTAAAACAACTAATTTCTTCATGATATGAAAGTAAGATATCCCATTCTTCATTTCCATTAATTAAGTGGTCAATTTGAATGCTGTAGTAAAAATATCAAAAAGATATATTGATAGGATCTCTTTCTTTTTTTACTTTGTTTTGAACAGCCAAGGCCAACGTTAGAATTATTCTAAGAGCCAACTTGTTGAAAGCTAAACTAGTGGGCAGGGGAACTGCCGTTGGAGGCTGGGACACCCAGCGCGGCATTAACATGCCAAGGACTACCAGCATGGGTGTCCTGTCTCTTAGGGCAGAGTTTCTCCTGCCCAAGGGCTCAAAAATGGAATGGAAATTCATTAAGCCACAAAATGTAATTATTATACCTTTTTTTTTTTTTTTACAAAAGTAATGATATAAGGTAAAATAATTTTCTTTGAAATTTAAAAAGAAAATTTAAAGTCCTGCATGTTTAAGTAATTATTTATACCTTCATTTTTCTAGTGTTTTTGATTTATCAGTTATTGTATATATTTATAAACATTTTATTTTTCATTTTAGACATAAACATATTATTCAAGTTATTTATTTATTCATTCATCATTCTTTCAGCCTTACCACCCTGGGTCTGGCTGGACATGGGAGCCTGAACCTTTTAGGAACAGGTGCCTCCAGGTGACCACCAAGGACAGCATGGAAGTGACCTGTACTTGGGGAGAACTGGACATGGAAATAAAAGGTGCTTGATCTTATTATTCTATTTGATATAACCAATGGAAATTTAAGTTGAATTAACCTTTCAATTCTGTCATGTATAACATATGGAAATAAAACATTATTTGATCTCACCATCCTATAAATTATAACCTATGGAAAGCAATAACGAAATGGCCCTTTCATTCTGCCAAATACATTTTGGACTATATTTTAATTTATATCATAATTTGTGAATGACAAATAAATGGAAATAAAAGGTGAAATAAACTTTTAATTTTGTCATGTATAATGTATGGAAAAAAGATTACCTGATCTCATAATCCTATAAAATATAACCTATGGAATGAAATGATGAAATGGTCCTTTAATTCTGTCAAATACATTTTAGACTATATTTTAATTTATATCACAATTTGTGAATGACAAATAAATGTGACATCTTATTCCAGAGTTGAACTACATGTATGAGCCTGAAGTCCACAACAGTGGTAAGTGAATTGCATTATATAATTGTATTGCTCTATTCAAGACAATAATTAAGCAGTTTTAGCAATAAACTTGGTGCATTTTTAAATCTACTAGCAAGGAATCATGTAATAAAATTATTTATGACAACAACATCCTGACTCATCGACATCGCCCGCTGATATCTGGACCTTCAGGGCCTGTTCACAAAGAATTTAAAGACCTAGCTAATATGCACTAACTCCATGGAAACTCTCGCTGAATACAATCAGATTAACACACTAACCCCCCCCCCCCTTTGTCTACAACATCCAGAATCACCAGGTTTACTGTATTTTACTCAATGCCATGATGTATTTGATATGTTAAGTTTAGAAAGAACAAATACATGTATTGTGTTTCCTTAGATTTGAATTCAATTCTCATGTTTCAGCTGATACCAACATAGTAACAATTGTAAAGAATCCTAACACAAAACAGATAGATAAGACTAGCATCTCAGTAAAATAATTATGACTTTAATACACACATGAAACATGCACATGTGCGTGCACACATACACACACACACATGAGCACACACACACTTAAGGCACACACACATGCACACTATGTTGCACAGTATGTCTGGCTTTTGACAGTCTTAAGAAGATACTTTATCTTCAGAAAAATTGATGCTCTTGCTGTGTTAATCATTGAACATGCTTGGTTTTCCTTAAAATTCAATTCTGTTTTTTCAGGTGATATCAAAGAAGATAACAATGTAGCAATTGTTAAGATCCTAAGTATTGAGGAGCTAGGTAAGGCTTAATATGCTTATGCACACACACACATACCGTACACTAACAAGCCCACACACACACATTCATTACACACTGCAAGCATGTTGCTCAAGCAGTCTGGTCTTTAGAATACTTAAGAAAATTTATTTATTTTTAAGTCAATTAAATCTTTGAATGTGTCTTCAACAAATTGTAATACTGAACCCTAATTGAACATGCACAGGTATGGAATGTTAAGTTTTTATTTGATATCATTTTTTCTTTAGCTGATATCAAAGACACAAAAAGTGTGTCAGATGCTGAGGGCATCAAAGAAAAAGGTAACTTAAAGACAGTAAGGTCAGTTTAACAGGAATTCATTTAATACACTTAAACATTGTAAACACACACAGGCAGACTTTAGGGTGGAGATTCCCTTAATAAAACAGTTTAAATTCACTGTTTAGTGATCTAAATCTTTGAATATGTCTTTGACTATGTAAAATAATGTATTGAATCCTTGTTGTGCACAGGCATTGAATGTTAAATTTGTGTTCCATTTTTTTTCTTCAGTTGATGTCAAAGTTAACAGCTAATACATTTTAACTGAATTATATTTTAATATTTTCATCTTCTTATTTTTCAGGGTCATCATTGCAGAACTACTATTGCTTCTGTAGCAGCCAGTTAAAAACTTCAAATGCCATTCTCTTAATTTTACAATAAAATATAAATTTTGTGTAGTCAAATGTGTTTTTTTTTTTTTTTTTTTTTTTTTTTTTCTTAATTGAGGGTATC